GTCGGCCATATTGGCGCCGGACCGACCAGCTGCTTAAAAAGCCGAAACAGCGAAATGTTGGCCTCCTTTTTAAATTTGCCGCTAGTTTTGGCGCCAATATGGCGGTAATTGCGGTACTTTATATATCTAGGGACTTTAGACTTGAGAACGTTAAACTACGCCAAGCGTTTCAAAGAAATGATCAGGCCTGAACGATACGGAATCCGGTGACAATAACGCCAGACATCATATATAAAAGACATGTAACGGACTAAAAACGTTACAATGTAGGCCGAAGAGATTGGTTACCTGCATGACGTCGACCGAGATATGTTGTTAAATAACATTAATAGCAAAATAAAAACACTAAATCACCACAATACACCAAAACACTTTTACTTTTACACTGGACGCGCGTTTCGCTAACCATGTTAGCATCATCAGCAGATGATTATAAACTAGACTAAAGTCTTTTCACCACAACAATTTCTTGGGATGGAGTTGTCTCCGATAACTGTAATATAAAACCTCATTAATATAATATCAATTTGTCTGTTTAAAACTACCTTTCTTTCTACAGTAATTTTTTTTCTAATTCTTTATTTAGACTTATGCTTGTGTTACGATATTTTCTTGGCATATTTCTTCGGAGGATTCTTGAACATAGACTTGATGTGATTATCTATTGTCTGTTTCAACGCAACAAGTGGGAATGTTCGGTCTACAATATACATATGGGTTAAGGATTTTATTATGTATTTTTCCTGTGTGTAATCAATAGGTTTTACCTGATTATAGTTGATTTTTCTCTAAATTTCATCTTGTTTATATTACGATTTACAGACTGACGTTTCAACTGTTGTCAGCTGATCGTGTGACACCGGCGTTGAAATTTGACAGATGGATCTTTGTAAATTAGGTTTTCGATCTTTTTAAACGGTTTTTATATATAATCGGAAAATGTATTAATAATTTTCCGAAGATATTATGTTCGTATAGGAATCATTATAATTTTATTATGATTTAATAAAATGTTTCACTCAATCCGTATGTATTAAATAAAATTTTATGTCAAATTTTATTTTGGGTCTTTTGTTTTACTGGTTGCCTGTGTTAGACTTTGGGTTGGTATCTTGGAGTCCAGCGTCTTTTGGCGGATTTTGCAAACACGCGTCCTGTTTTTCTTCTTCTACTTCGAACCGCCGTGGTAAACGCAGCATTTCTGATCCTGACTGACTGATAAAAACTCCATTGAAGTTTTTGGCCTTGCCTTGCCGTTCCGAATTGAGATTGTTTCTTTGGAGTTGTCTGGAATTCTATTGTGGGTCGAGAAGACTGGTTGTGCAGTTTTGGCACTAATTGTGGGCGATTTTGGCCTGTGTGTGGTTCAGAATTCCAGAGAAGCCTTGTAGAGGGATTTATTCGTCAGTTGGTAAGAAACATGTACAGTTGTGTAATGTTCTTTTGTACAACTATTTATTTTAGAGGACATGATTTTACAACACGGACTGTGTGTGATGGTCATACGAGATGAGTACGAGGACTTTTAAAGAACCCTTTTCCATGGAGTAACGTGTGGCAGCATATTAATAGAAGTTATATGTACAGTTAAGAAGTAAGCTAATTAAACGTTATTATTCAAGTTATTCAAGTAAGTTTTAGTTTTATTCCTAAAAATAAGCAAAATAAGTAAAATAAGTTACGGTGAAATTTTGAACCGTAACAAGTTAAACAGTTAGTTGAAGAGTCCGATAGTTAGTAGTTGAAGAACCAGTCACAGTAAGCCAGAGGTCGGTGAAAACAGTGAAGACATGTTTCTGTAAGTACCTACTCAGCATACTCTTATATTTTTATCCACATTATATATTTTGAGTAAATAAATGTATATTTTATAATGGTTGTTTTAATCGGAAAAGATTCTGGTCTAAGCGAATCTAGTAAACAACCCCAAGCTTGGTCGCGACACTGATATCACAAAGGAAACGTTAATACAAAATAACACACACATATAAAAAAAAATCAAAATTTTAAACAACAATATTCCCGTAACAAAATCGTATACGAAATATGAATTTCAAATATTATTAAACGAGCAAAGTATGTACGTTAGACAGGAAATTTAATAAATTTCCTCACTCCATTGATGTTACGGAAGGCTCAATATTAAAACACTCCCTTACACTTTCCGTTTTCCCTTTCACCCTCCTTACTATTTGCGACGTTGAATTTGTAACTTCTTACCGGTGCGACAACATATAGACACCCCCTGCTGATGGTAGCAGGGATCGATAGAAGTTTTTCGCCGTATGCAGTCTCAAAATTTACGACCAAGATAAAGCCGATTCACGTGTACAGACCCTATTTATAAACATTTACATGTTCGCTTTATCTGATTAGATCTCCTTCGAGTGTCAGGTTGTTTATTTCTTATTGTATTTTTTCCTAGAACTGTCCTATATGTTTTATCCCTCTACGATTAGGCTAGATTTATATAAAACGAATGAATATATTTCTTAAAGTTACTGTTTTATACTGTTACATTATTATTTACCGTTATTTTTACTAAAATACTAGGTGATCCGGCTAACTTCGTACCGTCTAACAGTGAAGTGAGATATTTTATGTCAGTCTTGTGGTACGGATGACTGATTGATCCAGTGATCTCGTATGGAGAGACCAATCAATTTGACAGTTGTATTTTTTTCCTTATATACATTTCAATATTGTTCTAGATTTGAATATGTTATTTTTGCACTATTTTCTGTTGAATTTCTTATGTCACTGATTTACAGTGGATGTCGATTATTACAAATAAGGTATCGTAAGCGTTCCTAAGATGTCAATTGCGGAAGATGTCCTAAGATGTCAAGGCGGACATTTAAACCCAATTTACTTGTAAATTAATTAATTAACTATAACTTTTTTATTTTTTCGAATAAAATAACGAGATTTGGTATTTTAGTATAGACATAAATTAGGATTGATTGACGAATTCAATTGTTTTCGGTCACTTCTTGTTTCACCGGATAGGCACCCTCGGTATATTCTTACCTTATTCGATAAAAATTACACTTTGAATAGATTGACATATCATATGTCAACTTTTGACATTTTTGCTTAAAAAAAGCGTATTTTAAATTTCATTCTAGAGAGCCATAGCTGTGTTAAAAACACTAATTTTTAATCAAAGAGAAAAATATTACACCGAGGAAGTGCACAATACCAAATTTAAAGCAGTGACTTATTAAGTAGCTGTTATTTCACAGACATCAGTAATTCTTAAAATATTTTATTTATTCATCGTTCTCAATCTTTATTGGCGTCAACGTCAAACAAGATTGCCATTAATTTATTTTTAGTATATTTTATGATTCCATATTTACTTTATCTTTTTTTTTCTCAGCTTAAAGCCGGTTTTAGCGACTAAGTGGGGATAATTCTTATCAAGGACCTAATCGCGGTTCAACACAGCGCGAATCATCTCTACTACGGGTTGTGAAGTTGGAGTTTCTTAAGGCTTTGAACAAGGTTTACGACTACTAGGCCGTTACAGGTAAGTATTATTGGTAATATAAAAGTCTTGCTCAAATCGTATATGGCTTTTAGTTCTTGTGTCAGTGCTTCATATTTTGTGATTTTCTCTTTTCTTGCATTTTTAATATTTTTGTCTAGTGGTATTGTGACGTCCAGCAGGTAAGCATGTTTTTGTTTTTTATAGAAGATTACTGTATCAGGTCTATTGATACTCCATCATCAATTTTTAGAGCTTGATGGATATCAAGATATTTGTAGGTTTCACCCAGATGTAACGGCGAGAATGTTATGTCGTTAGTTAAAATAATCTCGTTAGATTCTTGGATTTTCCCTTTTTTACAGTGCAAGAATGCACATTTTTCCATACCGACCATATTCACCATATTTACCATTATTTTACATTTACAACTTTTCACATACATTATTGTATTGTTTAAAGTTAATAATGTGTATGGAATACAAATATAAATTTGTATAATGTGTATGGAATTACATCCTTAAATTAAAAGTAATGTTTACATTACCGAGTTCCAAAATCAACTACTAATTAGTTTTGATATGGTGTAATATTAACTGAATGGATTACGAATATTGGTCGAAAATACGGTGAGTTCATTTAAAGTTTAGTATAATTCGTACTAATTATTGTAGTATTTTTTTATTAAAACAGTAAAACTCATTTTCCTTAAAATTAGTACCTACATATAACATCTCCGAAAAAAAATTGGAAATGACGATCGATAGCAATTTACATATAAAAATACGTGGTTAATATCATCGATTTATTTTTCCAAGCCAACTTGGCGTCTTTTATAGATTAAACGATATCATAAGCGATATCGCTTTGTTCTTCAGTCGGCATTAAGAAATCTGTATTTTTGAATGTTAAAAGACTGCACTATCACAGCTTGTATTTTTAAAGAACACTTGGGTATCATAATCTGACAAGTTATGTTTTTTTGAAATATTCTTTCATCAAGAAGTGTATCTTCTTAAACCCAGTTCAGATGCACATAATATGCACTTATTATAGGGGCCTCAGCTAAAGACATCCAAATAAAGGGAGACAAAACAATTTACATTTCATCGCGATCACGAACCGTGTTCCGCAAAAATCGATGATGACAGATTTACGCGGTATGTGATAGAATACGGTTCGAGTTCCAAATGTTATTATTACGAAACTCAACCGTGTTGTCATATTTATGTACCCATCTCTTTTTAACTTTCATAAAAGTGTCAAACCATGTATGATTCTAAAAAGTTGAGTTTTATGAATGGAGTGTTCTGTCTACCCATTTAGATGTCTTTGGCCCAGCCGAGACCCCCAAAGGCTATCGGTCGCGACACTACATATTTTAATTGACTTTCCTGCTTAACATCACGAGTCACGTCACTGACCACTTACAACCAATCCACCCCTCCACCGACATCCCCTTTAACTGATTAATTAATAAGCACCGGTCCTTAAGGGCTGGTTCACTTACCCTGAAATCACCTCCGTTGCCGTCGTCCAGCTCCAACACGTAGCCCTCGACGTGGCTGTGGGGTGGCGGCTGCCACGCTATCGTCACCGAGTTGTTTTCCGCGCTGCATTCCTCGGGGATGATGGCGGGTGCTGCCGGGGCTGCGGCCGATAAAACAGAGAGCTTTTTAGTTCGGGTAATTGGGAGAATGGCGGGGGAAATGAGAGGAGAAGAAGAAGTGCAAGCAGGGCGGAGGATGTGGATTTAAACTTCATTCAGAACCTTGCAATTAGTGGAAAAAATTAGTGGTTTCAATTAGCGTAGAAGTTTGTTCATTTACTTTAAATGTAAGCATTCAGAACATCAACATTAGTGGTAGACATTTTCAATTAGTAGAAAAAGTTATCAAACTTTTAACTTTTCCAATAATTATACTTCAAATTATTTTCCAATAATTTATTCCACTAATTGCGAGGTTCTGAATGAAGCTTTAAAATTTGTAATTTAGATTCTGGGATAATAGTACATTGGATACTAGGCCGGGGCGAAAAAAAAAATTGGATTTTTACCTTGTCATACTTTTAAAAGTGTGTGGATTTGATTAAAATTTAAATTGCTTTTTTGAAGGCAAGTCTGTGGATATATATATAATTGCAGTAAACGGTTTAACGTTTAATGTTAACGTTGTTAGGTTGCCATCTTGCATTCCCGGATCTTTCTCAGATAAACGGTCAGTGCAGATTCCATCTCGGACAGCAACACATATCCGGTATAGATATTGCTGGTCTGTGCTAAGATCTTTTTCATCGACATGACATAAAGTTGTGTCTATTTTCCGAAAACTTACAACTGGTCTCGATTCACATGCTGCCAGCTTAGATCCAATAAGCCCAGAGCAAGAATACGGTCCTTTAGTGTGTCCGTCTAGGTCCGCAAGGAGATGGCGCAGTGGTAGTTCGTTGGTGTGAAGCAAGCAAATCAACCATTGTAGGGGTCTTTTAATATGAATTTCCAGCATATATCCGTATAATACCACTCTTCCAACTAGTATTCACGTTCGTACCATCACATCCAACAACTGTTAGACATTTCAGGTCAATAGATTTAGCTTCAATGAGCGATATGATACTTTTTGATATATTCAAACCAGTGCCGGAAGTATTCATGCTTGTATAGCCAAAATATATGCTTCCTGGCTCTTCAATTATCGATATATGTTCCTGCTGTTTAGTAATGCGACGTCGTTTAACAAGCATCATGGTCTGGTTTTTTCTTCATCATTCTGGTCTGGTGCGGCCATAAATACGATATATTTTACCTTAGCGGGGCGCGGTTAAAAATTAAGTAAACTGAATTTTTATTCAGTTTATCTTAAAATCTGGTTTATTTTTATCATTAATAAAATCGTTTTTTCGATATGACGTCAAAAAATATTGAAATAAAAAAATACCCCTTTTAAAAATCCCAAAAAATCACAAAGATTTTTGACCTACCACACAACTTTTTATCTCTATGACATACTATTTTTCGAAAAAAAAATTTCGGCCTTTTTCGCCCCGGCCTATTGGGTACCCACCACAAAGTTGGGAGTAACAGTTCATGGGTATTGATACTAAAAGAATTGCGGACTCCTGTTGTTTTTATGTATTTTAACTTAGACAATATTTCGGTCAGATGTACCTAACAAATATATGTATACCGGGCGCGTCTCAAAATTGGCTCCTTCCTGCGAAAAAAAAATATTTTTTTTTTCGGATAAAAAAACAAGATTTGGTATGTTAAGTTGTTATATGACATAAATTAAGATTGATTGACGTATTCAATTATTTTCGGTCACTTAATGTTTCACCGGAAATGACTCCAACTTTTGCTGTTTATATGGAACCCTCGGTATATTTTTACTTTATTCGATAAGAAATGACACTCTGAATAGAATGACATATCATATGTCAACTTTTGACATTTACGCATATGGTTAATTTGAAATTGTAACATGCGGTTCATAACGACAATTTAACTTGAAATAACAAACGTGTGGTACCAAATTATTCGTAAAAAAATCTTTTCCCAAATATGCTAATGAGCCACTCTCGTTCAATTTGAAAAAATTGAGATATGATTAAAAATACGATTTGGGCATTTTTTATCGCCAGGACAAGACACGAAAAACATTAGACAATCAAATCTATTTTTCAAAGGCTTAAAAATTAGTGTTTTTAACACAGCCATGGTTAACAACACTCTAGATTTGAGAGATGTTGATTGTGAGAATGTTAAAAGTTGACATATGATATGTCATTCTATTCAGAGTGTCATTTTCTATCGAATAAAGTAAAAACATACGGAGGATGCCATTTAAAAATCAAAAGTTGTAGTCATTTCCAATGAAACAGAAAGTGACCGAAAATAATCACCGTTAATAAGATAACCGTTAATCAAACCTAATTTATGTCATATATACCAAATCTCGTTTTTTTTATCTTAAAAATAAAAAGTTATAAGGGTGAACCACTTTTGAGACGCACCTGGTATATTGTTGATAAAATTAAACCAATGTTTGATGTATGATTAAGAATATTATAACTCTTTTGTTAATTTATAATATTAAATTAATATTTGTTTAATTTGATTCGAACGATTTATTGAATTTAATAATTTTCATCAGTAGAATTATCTCTATATATAGAGAGCAAAATATAAATATGTATAAATACATATTTAATAAATTATTATAAATAGAATTAATGCGAGTTTAAATATTTGTGTGGGAATATACTTTTGAAGTTAATCAGATTATTATGTATTATTTTATTTTAAATTGAGCAAATGCGATCCTAATGATATAAAATGTATGTCTTTTTAAAACACCATTGTTTATTTGATACTATCTAAAAAAACGTATTTATCATATCGAAATTTAAATTATAAACATGCATTTAAGGAAAAACAAATGCACTGAATACCATTTTAGGGATTTTAATAAACAAGGTGGTTCAAATTGTAATCGGGAAACTTCGGCAACATATTCTGGCAGAAACAAATAAGAAAGTTTGTATAAATTTATATCCTAAAATGCTACGTTTCGGAAATATATTTTTTTTTCGTTTGTATATAATTTTAGTTATACGACCCCAAACATTTTCCATCGGATTTAGGTCGGGGCGGTTGGAAGGCCAAGGCAATGTTTCAGTGTTGTTGTTACCAGGTGTTAACGGCAATAGCAGTATGAACCGAACAGTTGTCTTGTTGAAAGACAAAATTGTTGTTTTCATAGAGAGTCCTAACAGAAGGGAGCATAACATTTTCCAAAATTTCTATGTATCTTTCGTTGTTGAAACATCCTTCGATCCTCCAACAAACACCTCAGCCCCTGGCACCAAACCAACCCCAGATATTTATTGCAAAATGTCCTGCTCTTTTGATGTTATGGGTGTATTCAGGGTTAAATCTTGAATTGGGTGGACGGTATACCAAAATTCTTCTCTTTTCGGATGTTGATTGAAACACTTTTTCGTCCGAAAAAGTAACCCTCTCCCAAAAATCTTCTTCAATTAAAATATTACTGCAAAAATTACCCTGGCTTGTTTTTGCTCATCAGTTAATAGAGATTTTTTCACTGCAGCACTACATTTCAAATTTGATTCTTTTATCCTTCTCTGGGCGGTTTGACGAGACCCTGGAAACCCGCTTGCGCTAGAAGCCTCTGCACATGTTGAAAATGGATTGTGCTCTAGTTCGTTGAGTAGAGCCTCATCTTCTTCGTTCGAACTTACTTTTTGGCCCTGTTCCTTGTTTCCTCTTTGTAGTGTTATGATCAATCCAACGTTTCTTCCAGCGATTTATCGTTTTTTTTTGTTAACCCCAAAATGGATTGCGGCTCTTCTTATAGACCAACGATCTTCAATAACTCGAGTTATAATTTGTGCCTTTGTAAACTCTGATAAATGTCTTGGCATTTTTTTTTATTTTTATAAAATAAATACTTGTCAAAGTCAAAGAGTCTAAGCCATTTAACACATTTAGGTGATGAAAGGAAATTAGACATTTTAAAAAAAGCTGGTGTTTAATTTGTTTAAAAGGTAAAGTATACAGAGCATTATATTGACAATTTTAAATACATTTTTTACATGTCCTACTTTTCTACGAGCAGCACTTTTGAGGCTCACCCGGTATGTACATTTTTAATTATTTTTATTTGCAGAATATGTTGCTGAAGTTTGCTGATTACAATTAGGACCACTCTGTATAGATTAATAATGAAGTAGTTTTTACCGACCCACTATAAAGATATAAGAAGAACGATAGAGCGCAAGATTTTTTTAAAATTTTATCCAAATTTTTATAGCAAATATCTTTTTAAAAGGCCTTATTGCTCGAAGTTTATACCCCAAAGTGGTGCGGTAAAATTTTAAGAACTTTAAACGTTAAAAACTGGTTTCCTTCATGCTATAAACTTAACCATGCGAAAAAGATAATAAATTATAAATTTTCATGCGCTTCTTAGAGCGTTTCCATGCTTCATTTACCTGCCGGAACTCTTTCTTGGCCATCAATGAATGCTGTATTGCATAAAACGGAATTTTGCTTTTAATTCAAAACTCAAATAATATTTTAATTAAACTCAAATAATATTTTCTACTAATTAAAGGGTATATTTTGATATATGTTAATCGATGAAGATGTTAGATTAATGACACTACTTTAATAAAAAAAAATATAAGTATGCCTCTGATTAATCTGGAATAAGAATACTATTATGAAATATTGTAGAACTGGTATTCTAAGACATTTTTGGCGTGTCATTCTTTTAAAATAAGGTCAATGTTATTTAAAAATACGTACTATTACAAGTAGATTGACGATTGAAAAAGTATTTTTCAAGTCATCTTTAAAACCATTATAATTTTCTTCATATAGCATTGTCTTTTTAAACACATTTCCATAATTTTGATGAAAAAAAAAATATAATTACTTTTTTTGTACATAAAATAAACAAATTGGTTTGAACCAATTTAAAAGCAGTTTTCTTTAAAGTTCGATAGTTCCCTTTCTCTCTAGTATAATAATTAGATAACAATTTAATGTGCAATAGACTTGTTAATTGGACACTAATTGCCAATTAACGTGTCTAGATTAAAATGGTAAGTAGACTTTAAGTCTAAAACTGTTCTCATATACACTCACCGGTACGAAAACCGGGCACCTCAAAATTTTGATGTATTTTAAAGTTTAATATATGTTGTCCTAGTTGGCCGATTTCGGTGATTTTTTAAAAAAATTATAGTTAAATTATTTGACCTTTTAGTATCTCTTTCGAAATTAAATATAAAAGTTTCCTTCTGTCAATTATAGGAGGGGAAATGAAATGTTGATATTTTGGTGAAAATTTGGAACGCCCTGTGGAATATGTTAAGAAAGCACGAAACTTGAAAATCATTTTATCAAATAGGTACCTCTTTTCTCGATAGTTTGTTTTTTGATTCATCTCAATAGCTTTATTTTTATTGGAGATATTCGCTTTTGATTAAGACAGTAGGATTTGCAGCAATTTTAGCATCGATTTTGGTTTGGGGACTCATCAACTCTTATAAAATAGTGTTTATTGGTTTTGTAATGTCATTTCCATTAAAAAGTTATACTATTATTGTTTATTGACGTTTACTCTAGTACAGATGACTTTAAGTTCTGAAGTATCGGCTATAAATTGATCATGGTAGAGACCAACTTTTGGACTTAAAAACTATATCACCTAGAGTAACTAACTGCCCAACAGACAATAATATGCTTTTTCAAAGACAGTAGCATTACATAAATCATAAACACTATTTTAGAGGTCTGTTGACTAGTGCCAAGAGCAGAACCAGAGATCATTCAAAAAACAAACTATCGAGAAACTTTCGTGCCGGTGAGTGTAGTTTTACCACTTGATTGATTTTATATCTACCAGTCTATTATAAAATAATTAATATTAAAAACAGATGATTTACAGATCAAAGATCTCCTTAAATATCAGAATGTACATTTAAAATTAATGTTTTAATTAAAATTTTACATTCTTTCAAGCTTAGTTTCCGAAAAAGGATACCCATTTTGTTTAAATTAAAAATACTTACGTTTCATTTGTATAAAATTAAGTTGTTCTATGGCTCTTAGGACAGATTTGTCGTCTAGTGTGAGATCAAAGTGTGGGGATACTCTTGGCGCAGTCCATTCCTTGTGCCATGAATGATCCGTATTGGCTACTCTGGATATTAACATTGTTCCAACCTGAAAATTAATATTTTTATTATAATTTTTCAATTTTTTTATGGTTCTAACTATATTTTTCGATTGGGGCTCAATATATGGCCAATCACGACCGCGATATCAATGCTTAATTTACCTTTTCAAATAGCACGTAGCCGCATAGACACGTGCAATTTTGTGCAGCGATCGATTTATTGGGCTAGCAAATTAGATTACAAAAGCCATACAGGCCACAATCGCCACTATGTATTCCCCGCTATAATGCCTTGCGGTCATTTAATTGCGTTACGAAAATCTTTGTAATAAAAAAAGTCGTTCTATTATGACCTACATACGGAGTATATTTAAGAACAAAGGAAGTGCATCAGAATGCGGAAACTACCGAGGAATTTCACTACTGGCTATCGGAGGAAAAATTCTTGCGAAAATTATGTCAAACCTCCTGACCCACATATAGAAAAAATCCTCCCTGAATCGCAAACGGGTTTTCGCACCAACCGTGGCACCGTCGATTCCATATTCTCCATCCGCCAACTACAGGAAAAAGTAAAAGAGCAGCAGTCTAAACTTTATGTTGCATTCATCGATCTAACAAAAGCCTTCGACTCTGTGAACAGAGATGCACTTTGGGCAACTATGCATGACAATGGGCATAACAACAACAATAAGAGTATCATATCATGGATGACTGAGCGATCCCTTCCTAACAAGCACAGGCGTTAGGCAGGGATGTGTTTTAACGCCTCTCCTATTCAATATATTCATGGCAGCGCTTTCCATTATAGTGGACAGCAAACTGCAGGAGAGAGGTTTGGGCATATTAGATACAGATACGACGGCGGTCAGTTCAACATAAAAAGACTCAGGGCAAAATCACGTACAAAATTCATCACAGAACTTCAATACGCTGATGACTGTGCTCTAGTTGCAAATACGTTACATCAATAATTGCAAGAAATGTTGAACACATATACATGGGCATACAAGGCTTTGGGACTTAAGCTGAACATCGATAAAACTAAAGTCATGTGCACTCCCGCGGATGATCACAACAACGCTATAAAGATCGAAGTAACTTTTTTGCTATGGAAAATTTTGTATTTCTATGAAAACATTTCCAAAGCACCTTTTTACGTAGAATTTAATGGTTTAAGTATAATTTTTTTTAAATTAATAGTTTAAGCGTTATCAACAGAAAAATTGATTTTATATTTGGGACACCCTCTATATTTTTAATTAACTGAAAAGAATATAAAATTACCTTTCCAAAAATATAGCACACTGGATATTTTGTTATAATCCCCTTCGAAATACAGAATTTTTTAAAGTTCGCCACTTTTAACTAGTAGGCTTTGGACCCCTTATTGATGATATGCCCCTAATGGAACTCGAAAACATTTTTCCAGCAAGACGACGCGACGCACCGCCTCTGAACGCTGAAGTTATCAGCAAATTTTTGCAGCCAATTTCAAGAATAATTGAATAGCTAACCAAGATCCCAGCCGTTGGCCGTCGAGGCCGCCTGACTTAGTGCCCATGGATCTAATCCTATGGATATATTTGCGGAAGAATAAAGGTTCCTTATTATTCCGTATAATCTAGACAAGAATTAGAAAAACTTAGCAGTTATGAAAGGGTATCTTCCACCCCCACTGAGTTAATGAATTCCGTAAGAAATGTTCAAAAACTGCCCCGTCTGTCCATAACATAAGACGGTCGATATGTCTAACACCTGTAGCGAAATCTCATGTCTTGGTTTGCTATTTATTTTTATTGTTATTAGATATAGTTTAAATGTGTTGATGTTGGTTAAATATATTTTAAATTGTTATAAAATTCTGCTTCTCTCATAGCAAATATTATTTTCGTTTTAATTGATGCTCACAACTAGAATTTTTTTTGCATTACAGCCGGTGCCGTTCAAAGCCTACTTATTTAAAGCGGGCGAATTTTTATATACTCTATATCTGGAAGAGGAATCGAGCAAAATATCAAATGTGTTATATTTTTGGAAAGGTAATTTTAAATTCTTTTCAATAAATTAAAAATATACAGGGTGTCCCATATAAAAAATCAAATTTTCTGTTGATAACTCTTAAATTATTAATTTTAAAAAAATTATACTAAAACCATTAAATTCTACGTAAAAAGGTGCTTTGCGAATGTTTTCATAGAAATACAAAATTTTCCATAGCAAAAAAGTTACAGCGATTTGTTAAAAATGAATATTTTTGAAAAACACCCCGTAACTCCGAAACGGTAACAGATATCGATATGCGGTTTTCACCATCATGTTTTAGACAAAAATTGAGCTCCAGACACCAATATTAGTCTCCTATAGAAAAGGGTGTTTCCATTTAAAAGCGTCGAATTTGACCCACCCTATACAAGCACTGTTGTTAACAAAAGCTTCATCTTAAAATAGCATTTTAATCAATCACATTTGTTTATCTCCATCATTTACCAGATTAATAATAAAGAAGTTATTTCTTATTATTCAATTACAAACAATTCATTATTTATAGTGATTTACAGTAATCTTATTAAATTATTCGAATATTCTCGTTGATTACTGGTTTGAAATAAATATGACAGGCTATGAGAAATATGTCCTTCAATGAAAATGCGAGTTACTAGTTTTGAGCTGGCAAATGAGCTAGATGCTACTCCAAAGCTATAAACACAACTTCCTTCTAACATGGCAATTTAATCCCGTTATTCTGAAAGATGGTACGTGTATGAGTAATGTAAGTACTCGTAGTAGTAAGTTGAATGACATTTTAATGACAAAGCGAATGGTGATCGTGGAAAATTTCGTAACAACTCTTAAAGGGTTCTTTCCATTTGGGTAGAGAGTGGTCTTTGTACTGGTGGTACTTTTATCCTTATAGATACATTAATTTTCTGTATTGACTAAAATGTACATCCCAGATTATATTCAATTTTTAATCTTGTTCTTAACGCTTGAAGGGAAACATGGCGTGATTTTGTAAGTATTCCTTTTCAGTGTTGAATATTAAAGCTGTAAAAAATTGTAATTGTTATATTGAAAAATATGCCAATTTCACACATAACAAAGCCAAAATTTGTAAATTTTTAAGAAATTAGAGAACAATAAATACCAAACACGAGGCCTACAATCTTTAACACACTATTTCCCTCTATTTCAATCACTGTTGATTGCTCCTTATATGTGATCAAAATGGGAACCTAATTAGACATTGACAGCAATTAAATCTTACTTGTAGGAACGATGAGCTGTCGGTCTCTTTGAGCGCTTCGATGCAGAATTGCAGCAGTGCGGTGGTCTGTTGTAATCTGGACGTGCACGTGGTCACCTGCTCCTTTAGGGCCCTAACTCTCAGCTCCTTGTCCTGTCGTATACAGTCGATGAGCTGGTCTCTGCGGTTTTGGATCGCCTGGATAAGGGCCTCGCATTGGGCGGACACGATCTGTTCGAATTCCTCGCAGTTCTCCTGAAACCAGACGACGAAATGAGCCAGTGTGTTTGGAATGTTAGCAATTTTCGTACTATAAGCGGAATTATAGTAGATGGCAATGAAATGACTTTAAATTTTACTATTAAGCTTCATTCAGAACCTTGCTACTACTGGAATAAATTAGTGGTTTCAATTATACTTTATACTTTTTAGTTTACGATCATTCATAATGTTTAAAAAACAATTAAAATTAATAGATTATCCTAGCCATTAGCGTAACTAGCAATTCATCCTGGGGTGGGACTGGGGGGCGGCTGGTGTTGAGCCCAGGGGGAGCCTAGGGCTTTTTTTTTAAATTGAAAAATAATTTAAAAAAACACATTTTTTGAATAAAACGTTTACATGAATTTCTCTATCAATAAATTTCATAGACTTGGTTATCAAACCGTGTTCCCGTAAATTACTTAAATACCTACAAATTTTCTAAAAAAATAAAAATTAACACATTTTTTGAACACAACAAAATAATATTAACTAAACAAAACTAGAAAACGTAATTTTTACTGTATCACAAGCAAATAAAAATTAATACGTAGCCAAGAGTCATAATTCAGGATTTCTCTGGGGGCTGCCCAGCAGTACCTGGGGGGGGGCGGCACCCCCGGGCACCCCTATAGTTACGCCAATGTGTACAGGGTGGGTCAAATTCGACGCTTTTAAATGGAAACACCCTTTTCTATAGGAGATAGAGGAAAAGTAATATCGGTGTCTGGAGCTCAATTTTCATCAAAAACACGATGGTGAAAACCGCACATCAATATCTGTTACCGTTTCGGAGTTACGGGGTGTTTTTCAAAAATGTGCATTTTTAACAAATCGCTGTAACTTTTTTCCTATGGAAAATTTTGTATTTTTATGAAAACATTTCCAAAGCACCTTTTTACGTAGAATTTAATGGTTTAAGTATATTTTTTTTAAAATTAATAGTTTAAGAATTATCAACAGAAAATTTGATTTTTTATATGTGACACTCTGTATATTTTTAATTTATTGAAAATAACTTAAAATTACCTTTCCAAAAATATAACACACTTGATATTTTGCTCGTTTCCTCTTCGAGATATCGAGTATACAAAAATTCGCCCGCTTTAAATAAGTAGGCTTTGAACGGCACCGGCTGTAATGCAAAAAAATTCTAGCTGTGAGCATCAATTAAAACGAAAATAATATTTGCTATCAGAGATGCAGAATTTTATAACAATTTAAAATATATTTAACCAACATCAACACATTTAATCTATATCTAATAACAATAAAAATAAATAGCAAACCAAGACATGAGATTTTGCTACAGGTATTCGACATATCGACCGTCTTCTGTTATGGACAGACGGGGCAGTTTTTGAACATTTCTCGCGGAATTCATTAACTCGGTGGGGGTGAAAGATACCCTCTTATAACTGCTAAGTATTTCTAATTCTTGTCAAGATTATACGGCGGAATAAGGAACCTTTATTCTTCCGCAGATATATTCATAGGATTAGATCCATGGGCACTAAGTCAGGCGGCCTCGACTGCCAACGGCTGGGATCTTGGTTAGATATTAAATTATTTTTGAAATTGGCTGCAAAAATTTGCTGATAACTTCAGCGTTCAGAGGCGGTGCGTCGTCTTGCTGGAAAAATATGTTTTCGAGTTCCATTAAGGGCATATCATCAATAAGGGGTCCAAAGCCTACTAGTTAAAAGTGGCGAACTTTTAAAAATTCTGTATTTCGAAGGGGATTATAACAAAATATCAAGTGTGCTATATTCTTGGAAAGGCAATTTTAAATTCTTTTCAGTTAATTAAAAATATAGAGGGTGTTGCAAATAAAAATCAATTTTTCTGTTGGTAACTCTTAAATTATTAATTTTAAAAAATTATACTTAAACCATTAAATTCTACGTAAAAAGGTGCTTTGGAAATGTTTTCATGGAAATACAAAATTTTCCATAGGAAAAAAGTTACAGCGATTTGTTAAAAATGCACATTTTTGAAAAACACCCCGTAACTCCGAAACGGTAACAGATATTGATGTGCGGTTTTCACCATCGTGTTTTTGATGAAAATTGAGCTCCAGACACCGATATTAGTTTTCGTCTATCTCCTATAGAAAAGGGCGTTTCCATTTAAAAGCGTCGAATTTGACCCACCCTGTACAAGTGAACAAATTTCATTGAAATACGTTTAGTATACAGACTAGATCGGGCGCTAAAAGAAGTCCCTAATTTCTTTATTAAGGAGCTTTAGGATTATTTATTTTAGGAGCTAGATCCAATATGTAGTATTATACTACTATTATTCTGCAATCAGGACCCTGTATAAATGGATCATTTGGTTATATCGAACAGATTGGCATAATTTAAAACCTAAAATGGCTATAAATTTGGTGTCAATTCGTCCCTATTGGGCTTTTGTATTTATTTCAGAAGGGGCAAAAGATCTATCGAGTTTTTTCCGAACGAATTCGAGTTAAAGTTGAAATATTGGCAAAAATACGATTACTGACTGAATACGAATTAGGCCTTTTATGACCGGATATCGGATCAAAAAAGGGCCACTCTCCTAAATGGATCAGTTGCGTTACTGCTGAAAATGTGTCAAATACTAATTGCAAAAGGTAAAGGATAACTAACGAACAAGGCAAGTGTGAAATGTGCAACTCTCACAGGTAAGTGGAGTATTTATCGAAAATTTGTAAAATTTATTGGGGGCGGGGTCGTCCATAAATTGCGTGAGGCGTTTTTTTGAATTTTGATTTTTTAATTTTTGAATTTGTGAACAAAAAAAATTGGCGCCGGGAGGCACGTATAGCCGCCCATACTAAAATACGTTAATATCTCGAAAACTGCGACCCTGACTGATTTTCATGTTATTACAAACTAGGTTTTTCCCGCGACTACGTTCGCGTTACACCTCGAATAGTTCATGCATTGATTTAAATGATTTACTTTGTATATAGAGCTAGTGAACCTTATAAATGTCCTATTTAAACTATGTTTTTAAGAGTTTTAGAGCTACTCGTATTTCATATGAAAGTTATCAATTGTCGATTTTCTGGGTATTATACAGGGCAAGTCTTGAATAAGTGCAAATATTTTCAGGGCTGGTAGATCTCGATACAAAACCATATTTTCTCTTTACCGTTTTTCAAATAACTCCAAAATAACCGAGTTATTTTACTTTAAAAATTTCCAAAAAAAATATTTTTTGCTTAAATTTTGAGAATCACTGCAGCTTTTCGGGGTTTTCTATCTTGTAAATTTAATCTACTACCTATCTATGTTGACATATTATCAAGAAATTATGGTTTTTAACTAAAAACTAAAAAAAAATCGAAAAGGTTTTTCAAAAAATTCCAAATTTTCAAAAAAAATTTCGCGAAAAAACTCATAATCGTGTTTCTGGGGTCAAATATACCTACTACCGCTAAGAATAATTGCACTTATTTAAGACTCGCTCGACAAAAAGTCGATATTGTTATTTTTGACTTATTACATATTTTTTACTTAAAATTTATAAAAAGTCGTCAATATTCCAATTTCAAGAGCATTTTTATTCTCTTTAAATATTATTATGTACTCAAGAAAATTCGAAAATTTAAAAACCGTTTTTTATTTTTTCATAGCCTGTATATGACTTTATGACACACTTTGTATACCAAAAATAAAACTTTTGATTAGAGCCGTCTGAAATAAAAAATCTTAATAATTCTAGAAGTTATCGAAATCAAAGTATTTCAAAGAAGTTCAATTTTGGCCACAAAATGTTCTTGAAATCTTGTTTTTTTAACACTTTTTTTCAATTTTTTCTAACTACTTCCATTGACTGAAACTAATTATGTATGGTTGGATAGAGGGTGGATGGCGATCTTCCAGGGCGGTTTTTTATTTCTTATTTATATATAGATTATTTTCGAAATCGAACCAAAGTCAATTTCAAAGAAATTTTGCAAAATCTGAAAAAATAAAATCTCTCCAAAATAATAAAAGTGAAATGATTATTTACCCTCTATAGATAGAACCCCTACCTATGGTCCCATATAAACTGTATTACTAAAATAAATAGTTTTGAAATATGAAGTTTTCAAATGAATATTTGAAATTTTCTCAATTGTCGCTTTACTTAATATACACCCTTGATATTTTTTTTTATTTTTCATCTCTTTTTTTGGTTTATTAGGAGTACTAATACTCTATTTATAGTTATTTTTTATTCCTTGAAGGATAATTGAAGAAGAAATATTTCGTTTATATTATTGATGTGTCACTAAATAAACCCTTGTATAAAATTTTATACTGCTAGATGTTATAGTAATGCATTTTCGTATAGCAAACTTTCATTCCCTATTCTACTCCCTAAGATTATAAATTTCATAAAATCGCTTTATCCAAATAATTAAATTTTTAAATGATCCTTTGTGCCAATTTTTATGTGTATAATCACAGAGGTCACCAAGTTTTATATAAATTTTTACTAACTTTATCCATTTGGTTGATGAATTTAAAAAGGATTCTTTTCGTAGGATTTCGTGGAAATTCTTTTTGTAGGATTTCATTCTTCTAGACCACATAGTAAGGAATTTTCATACAACAAATTGTTCCGATATAATTTTACTCTCTAAGAGGATGAATTTCCTAAAATCGCTTTGTGTAGCTAATTCACTAATGTTGTTTAAACGAACCTTTGTTCTAATATTTATGTATCTAAAGCTGGCTGTATGAACTGATCCCTAAAATATCTAAAAACTTGATATATAATCTAACTGACAAACCACTGACAATGACAAATAACTTATTTCTGGAGGTATTGTATGTAGGTGTTTTTCAGGTATGTTTTAATATTTAGTCGATTTATACAAAGAAATAGCCATTCAACAATTTAAAAATTCTTCATAACAAATCTACACATATATACCTTTCATTTAAAAAAAGAATCATCAAGATTGGTAAAGCAGTTTCGGCGGGATGGATGTAACAAAAAACCCTTTGAGC